ATAGTAGCTATGTAAGATCATTTTGTCTGTATCAAATCATTATAAAGAGTGTTTTTCTTAAACCCTAAAGACTCTGCCAAAAACTGCTAGAACTAATAAACAAATCCCGTAAAGTTGCAGGATACAAAACCAATATACAAATACCAGTTGTGTTTCTATACACTAACAATGAACTATCAAAAACGAAACTTAAGAAAACAATCCCATCTATAATTACATCAAAAAGAATAAAATACTTGGGAATAAATTTAACCTGAGAGGAAAAACATCTGCACATGGAAAATATAAGACATTGATGAAAAAACTGAAGACACAGAAAATGAAAAGATACTCTGTTCTCATGAATTGAAATAATATTGTTAAAATATCCATACTACCTAAAGAGATCTACAGAATAAATGCAATTTTTGTCAAAATTTTAATGGTATTCTCACAGAAATAGAGAAATTGTACAATTTGTGTGGAAGCACAAAAAATCACAAATAACCAAAGCAATCTAGAGAAAGAAGAAAAAAAGCTAGAAGAATCACACCTCCTGACTTCAAACAATATTACAAATCTATAGTAACCAAAACAGCATGGTACTGGTATACAAACAGACACATAGATCAGTGGAATATAGCAGAGATCCCAGAGATAAACCCATGCATATATAGTCAACTTTTAAAAAAGGAGCCAAGAATATACAATGGTGAAAGAACAGTCTCTTCAATAAATGGTGTTGAGAAAACTGGATATCCACATGCAAAAGAATAAAACTGGACCCCTATCTTATACAATATACAAAAAAAATAACTGAAAAGGAATTAAAGACTTAAATTTAAGACCTGAAACCATAAAACTCCTAGAAAATAACATAGGAGGTAAGCTCCTTGAAATCAGTCTTGGCTATAGTTTTAGATTTTGACATCAAAAGCAAAGGCAACAAAAGCAAAAACAAATATGTTGGACTGCGTCAAACTAAAAAGCTTCTGTTAAAAGAATTGTAGCTATGTAATTATTTTAAGTAATGTATTGAGGGGGCATTCTAGACTTCTAAGTGCTATGCAAATGTAAATTATGTGAAACTGTCTACTGCATTATTGAATTATTATGTATGATATACTAGGAAAGAGAAATTTGTCATAAAGAAAAACAATCTTAGAATTATCCAAAAAAAATTTGCATATAAAAGTAGGGAAATGACTTTTTATAGTGCTGCTCTGCTACAAAAACCAATAATAAAAAGCCCCTAGCAAATAAATTGTAGTAATATCACTTGTTCTTTATAGTCAGCATTACCATAAAGCTTTTGCCCAATCAGAAGCAAGGTCAGTAATTTTCAATACGTCTCTTACAGCTTACCTTACTTGACTTGCA